TATGAGACAGACAGGTCTCAGGCTGTCCGTGCCTTCACCCGTCTGCTCTATTCTGAACTCCAGGCGCTGTCCCCACCTCATCTGTAAAACTAGACGTTAGCTTTTTTTCTACCCTGACCCTAACTTTGAATAAAACAAAGGTCACTTTTACTTGGAGCTTAGATCCAGATCCATGCGCTTGCTCTGTAATAGTGACCTCTGTCGCCAGTGCACTGAACTACCAATTCTGTCAGCAGCAAAGCCACGTGATCCGCCACATGATGAGTCACGTGATCCGCCACATGATCAGCCACGTGATCCGCCACATGATCAGTCACGTGATCCGCCACATGATCAGTCACGTGATCCGCCACATGATGAGTCACGTGATCAGCCACATGATCAGTCACATGGTCACCACCTCCAGTCTCGCGACATAAACATCAGTGTCATGTGACTTCTTCCGCTCTGGGCTGCACACGCAGTGACTGCTGCTGACGCGCTCACAAGTTCAGACCAGAATTTGGACTGGGTTTTGTGCTGAACCCGAAACGTGACCAGAACCAGATTTGAGTTCTGGTTCTGTTGTGCAGAGGGGAGTCTACCGCTTCACATCCTCCCAGACAACTGGCAAGTGCATACTTCTTCCTCCGCAGCTGTAATGGACCTGTCCTTCCACACAGACAGGTTTCAGGTGGTTAACTATGTTCATGAAGGTAAACTTTGAATTAATTAGTTTGAAAAAGTACCGTCTTTGGGCCCTGCCTATAAGACAATCCAACCATTTTAGAAAGCAATTACAAACCTTAGGGATTGTATGCCTTGGGATTATTATTATTATTATTATTTTAAATACAGAGAATAGGATAGAATTGAATGGCCCAACAGGCCTGGGACGGTCACTGTGTGGGCTCTGGAAGCTTCTCTTTGTCCCGCTGCACTGTGACAAAAGCCATTCTGTTCTAAGGCCATCCATGCATATTGAGCAAAAGCGTCTGTTTATGAACTTTAATTGTTTACCTGCTAATGGGGAACGTGAGCTGGGTTTAGTCCGTCGTGAGACAGGTTAGTTTTACCCTGATGTATTACTTACCCTAAGCAATGTTCCCTCAGCTCACCAAGGTTGTTATAGCTCCATCCTCTCTAATATCAGAGTATCAAGTATTTTCTTTCATTTTGGCATTTCATGATTTGGAATGTTAATTTATTATGTGTAGAACTATATGGCCACAGTTCAATGGAGTAAGCGATGACTGCATCAACACTGCCAGGAGCTTTTGTAAAGCAGCATGTTTTTGGACTGGGGATAATCTCAGAAAGCAGCTCTTTGACTGTCTTTAAATACAGCAGCAGGTAGAATAGTACAGATTAAAATGTACATACAGGTAGTATAAAATAAAAAATCAGCTAGTAAAATGTACAGGAAGTTGTAAGGTATCTCGATGATTCCAATTTCAGCCTTGTATGAAAATGTTCTTCTACCAACTTCTTTGCAAGGCAGTTTGTGCTTCTACGTGAATATGATGGTGTGTTGGGGACAGAAACTGTTTTGAATTTTCGGGACAATTAAAATAAATAGATTCAAAAAAGTTTTTCAAATAGAGTGCAGTGATGTGTTTGATGTTGTAGTCTGAAGTTTAAGAAACACAAGTTCCTCATATTAATGTGGATGAAGCAAAAAAAGCCCTGCAGGGCTGTGTTTGATTATGGAACTTCATTTTAACATTTAAAAACTCAAACGGCTGCAGAACTATCATTACTTCTCATTTATTCTCTTCTCCTGGAGTGGTTAAATGTTATCTTTTTAAAGGAGTGTCAGAATTCCGCTTGCATTGAGCTGCTCTCTGATTGGCTGATATGGTTCCAGGCTCGCCTACGGTGCCGTCACCCATGTGTCTCCGGTGTTGACCCTGTGAATGATCATGACTGAGGAGATCCCGTACAAACAGGTGAGCGATTTAAGTCGACAAGCTGCGGTACTGTTTAAAACGGCCGAGTGTGTCTGAGTGTCAAAATTCAGTCAAACTCCCTGCCACTAGTTGGCAGACATGTCAGACGACCTCCCTGGCCCTCCCATACAAAATATTTGAGTAAGACCGCGTTGAATCAGTGCAGAAATCATAGCGAGTGCAGCTGTGAGGCAGTGTGCGAGTGTTGTACCGCATCAAACACTAACTTTAGACGCTTTGCACAGAGTCAGTGGGAACAGTGTTTCCCAGAGTCACTTCTGTCATTGGGAAGTTCTAAGACAAGTTACATTTGCAGAGAACAAGCCTTCTCCGCTAAAGTCTCCGCTAAAGTCTCCGCTAAAGTCTCCGCTAAAGTCTCCGCTAAAGTCTCCGCTAAAGTCTCCGCTAAAGTCTCCGCTAAAGTCTCCGCCGGAGATAAGAGAGAGAGAGCGGGGGAGACGAGAGAGAGAGAGCGGGGGAGACGAGAGAGAGAGAGCGGGGGAGACGAGAGAGAGAGAGCGGGGGGAGACGAGAGAGAGAGAGCGGGGGAGACGAGAGAGAGAGAGCGGGGGAGACGAGAGAGAGAGAGCGGGGGAGACGAGAGAGAGAGAGCAGGGGAGACGAGAGAGAGAGAGAGCGGGGGAGACGAGAGAGAGAGAGCGGGGGAGACGAGAGAGAGAGAGCGGGGGAGACGAGAGAGAGAGAGCGGGGGAGACGAGAGAGAGAGAGCGGGGGAGACGAGAGAGAGAGAGCGGGGGAGACGAGAGAGAGAGCGGGGGAGACGAGAGAGAGAGAGAGAGAGAGAGAGCGGGGGAGACGAGAGAGAGAGAGCGGGGGAGACGAGAGAGAGAGAGCGGGGGAGACGAGAGAGAGAGAGCGGGGGAGACGAGAGAGAGAGAGCGGGGGAGACGAGAGAGAGAGAGCGGGGGAGACGAGAGAGAGAGAGCGGGGGAGACGAGAGAGAGAGAGCGGGGGAGACGAGAGAGAGAGAGCGGGGGAGACGAGAGAGAGAGAGCGGGGGAGACGAGAGAGAGAGAGCGGGGGAGACGAGAGACTCTGATTCTAAAGCTGCTCTCTCTTATTGGCCAAACGCCTCCAGTTCCTGTAACTTATGGGCTACCTTGCATGGACAGTACATTCGAGCTCTCCCCAGAGTGGCTTAAGGAGGATACTGTATAGTTTGAAATTTGAAAACACGTTTTACAATTAAATTCTTCACACAAACACTGTTGAGTAAAAAGTGTCATCTCCACTATATGGACATGCCAATAATGTTTTCTTGTGTAAACTAAACAAGCAGTGATGTTTGTGTTGCAGCTGTTGCAGTGGGAGCGGCGGTCCCAGAGAAGAGCTCTTGTGGTGGGTCACTTTGACAGTTTGCCTTGTCATGTTTTCACCATGTTACAACCTTGTTCCTCATCAAAGACACACCTGAAGATGATTTTGGCTCCATCCACACTAATATCACCCACACCCCCACCCCTTCTGTCTAAATTCTCAAATTTAGATTTGCTTTAGTGAATTCCTTTCTTAGGACAAATCCTCAGGCTACAATGTCAAGTTTAGAGCTGTCTTTCTTTTCTTGTTTTTTTTTTTCCATCTCTTCTTTTTTTTTTTTTTATAATTAAAATTTTTATTGACTCGATCAGCAGTTCTTACATTAACAATCTACACGATGTTACATACATGGTACATTAGAATTTGTACATTTGTTAACACTTTTTTTTTTTTTTACATAATAGAACAAAAACAAAAGAACAATTGAGTAGCAAAGGGATATCACACGTGTCCTTAAGTGTTGGTATAATGTGTCCAACATTTCCAATAGTCCTCAAATCTATCGTGATCCAGTCTTAGTGCAAGTCATTCTCTCCATATGAAAAAATGTCTTTAACGAGTGATATCCAGCCCCAACACAGGTGTTCTGTCTGTCATCCATTTCTTTGTGATAGCTTTTTTGCTTGCTGTCAGTAAAACCTTCCACATATATTTTTTACTCGCCCCTTTTATACATTCTGGTTGTATTCCCAAAAACATAGTTTCAAAATTCAAAGGAACATTAATGCCAAAAACTGTGTCAATGCCCTGTTTAATAGCCATCCAGTAATTGGTTATTTTTGAACAACTCCAGAATATGTGGTGATGGCCCGTTTGGTTCCACATAACCTCCAACATGAAGTATCAGCACTTGGGCCTCTCTGGACTGGAGTTTTAAAAAAACGTACCATACATTTCCATGAAAACTCTCTCCATACAGGGGATGATGTGCTTTTCCATACATTAACAGGGATTTTAACCCAGTTTTCCATTTGTATGGTGTATGGAGAGATTACCCTCTTTCTCCCATTTTTCTTTAATATACAGTATATTTTCATTCTGCAAGTTTTGCAGCTCATCATATAGTTTAGAAATCAACTTATTGTTTGGTCCTTGCTGATATGCTTTTATAAATATTGTTATTAATCCCGACAGCTGCTTTGTATGGTCACTATAATTGTGGTTCAAGTAGTGGCGGACCTGGAGGTATCGGAAAAAATCTTTGTTGTCAAGATTGTAGGTCCTTTTCAAATCTTGAAAACTGATTGTAAGTCATTAAACCTTTGTCAGACCAATTTTTAAATGTTTTATCTCCTACATTTGGGGTAAAGTCCTTGTCATACGCAATCCATTTGATCATAAGGGTGCATTTTGGATTGTCCTTTATTATTTTTGACCAGATATCAAGAGCTGCCTTGGTCCATGGGTTAAGATCCCTTACATTACTCATTAAATGTGTGTTGCCAATCATTGCCGGTACGGGGATTACTTCAGATCTATATTCAATTTCTTTCCATTTTGCTGTATATGATGAGCTGCAAATATCAAACAGTGGGCTTAGTTGGGCCGCTCTGTAATAATTCTTCAGATTTGGAAGAGAGAGTCCACCCTTGTTTCTTGCCATTTGTAGAGTTTTGTATCTTATTCTAGGGTTTTTCCCTTCCCAGATAAACCTTGAAAATAATTTATCCAGTTCCTGGAACATTGTTGTTGAAGAGTCAACAGGTATTGTTTGAAATAGATATAATAGTTTAGGCAAGATTACCATCTTAATTGCTTCTACTCTATGTAAAAGTCCTAGATGGGGATCAGGCTCCATCTATCCAAATCAGTTTTAATTTTAGCAATAAGTGGATCGTAGTTTATTGACTTTAAAGTTTGTATGTCCTTTGGAATATGTACTCCCAAGTATGTTATTGAGTCCATGCACCAATTGATTTTAAATATTTTCTTTATGGGATCTTCTGGGTTGTAGTTGAATGTCAATACTTGTGATTTATGAGAGTTTAATCTATAGCCTGAGATGTTGCTGAATTCCATTAAAACGATTCGGTGGGTTTAGCCAAGTAAACTAGGACATCATCAGCAAACAGGGCACTCTTCTGTTCCTTCTCATTCACTTTAATGCCTTTTATCTTTCTATTTTGTCTGATATATTGTGCCAGGGGCTCAATAAAACTGGCAAATAAAATGGGAGATAAATGCCCCGTCTACAACCTTGTTCAATATTAAGAGGATTTGATAGACCTCCATTTATTCTAATTTTCCCTAGAGGTTTGTTATATAATCCTTGTATTATTTTTATAAACTTTTCGGTAAAGTTAAATTTGGAAAGTACTTTATAAAGAAAAGCCCAATCTACAGTGTCAAATGCTTTTTGTGTGTCCAGGCCCAAAACAACAGCTGTTTTTTTATCTTTCTGTATTTGATGAATCACATGTAGTGTGCGTCTTATATTATCTCTAGTTTTCCTCTCCTTGATGAAGCCTGTCTGGTCCAAATTTATTATGTCCGGGAGAATATTTTCCAGTCTTTTGGCCAAGATGGAGGTGAAGATCTTATAATCCTGATTCAGTAAACTAATGGGTCTGAAATTTGAGCAATCTAATTTGTCCTTACCATCCTTTGGGATAACTGTGATAATGGTCTCTTTCCAAGTGGGTGGGATTCGACCCCCGTTCAAAACCCAGTTAAATGTCTTAAGGAGTAGAGGTGAAAGTTCTTCCAGGTATATCTTGTACCAGTCAGCATTGTAGCCGTCGGAACCTGGAGATTTATTCAATTTGAGCCTTTTAACTGCTTTTGCCAGTTCCTGAGCATTTATATTCCTTGTTAAAGTTGTATTTTGTTCACTAGAGAGCAAAGGCAATTCCAATTGGTTTAACATTGGTTTAACATTGGTGAGGTCATATCTTCCTTATCTGGCTCCTTTAAACTATAAAGTTTCCGATAATATCCAGCAAAAATGTCTCTAACTTCAAACTCTTTATATGTGACTTCATTAGTAGAGGGATCTCTTATTTTGTATACAGATCTTTCTGCTTGTTGTTTTTTAAGTCTGTAGGCCAGGACCTTTGTAGATTTACTTCCTGCTTCATAATAGCTCTGTTTTAGATAAAGTAGTTGAGTCTTTATTTTATTCTGTAATTCTTGATTGATTTCGCGTTTAATTTCTTTTATTTTTTGCAGGGTATCATCGTCTCTACTATTTTTGTGTTTTTCTTCCAAGTTGATAAGTTTTTGCTCCAATGTCTTGATTCTCTGTTCTCGTCTTTTTTTAAGAAGAGTGCTCTTTGCAATCAATTTACCCCTCAGGACCGCTTTACATGCATCCCATAATATTTCGGGAGAAACTTCATCATTATCATTGTCTCGAATATACAATTTGATGTCATTTTTAATTTCTTCTCTGATTTCTCCTTTAAGTATGCTCGAGTTAAGTCTCCATAAAAAAGGTGTTTTAATCTTGTCTATGTCTAGCTTCATGTACACAGGACAGTGATCAGAGAGGTCCATTGATCCAAAGCAGCACTCACTCACCCGACCTAGGTCTTTATTATACATGAAAAAATAGTCCAGTCTTGAATAGGAACGATGTGTTGCAGAGTAAAATGTATAATCCCTCTGGTGGGGGTGTAATTCACGCCACACATCTCCAATTCCCAATTCCTTCATTAACTTTTTCAATTTTTTCCCAGTATTATTGTGCGAGGTCTGTGCGGAAGGGACGTACTTGATTATGCCAACGGTACTGGCAACACCTTCATCAAGCATTTAGGATGTTGGACTCGTAAGCTGACAAGCACACATGCAGTAGAGCGGCTTCATAGTAAATCTGAAGACTTCAGTGTCATTATGTCAATATGCTAAAGCTAAAGGATGCTAAAGCTAGGTACTAGCACCACGAGTGCACCACGTCATGAGCTTTTATTAAACCTACACAGACATGGAAAGCGACACTGCAATAACCACAAACCCTATAAACGACATAAGTCGCCTCACATTGGAGCTTCGTGAGAGGGACCGTGCCACTATTGCAGACCTCCGTAAAGAAGTCCTTCGCCTCACTGCAGAGCTACAGGAAAAACAATCACTCGTGTCCAAACTTTTTGATGTCGCTGGCGGGCAGCACTCACGACTTATGTCACTGAGCGCTGCATACTGTGACACTGTCGTGTGGGAGAGATCTGTCAGCTCTGGACCCTCTTGTTCTACACCTAAGTGCCCGGTTCCGAATGAGGAACCCGCGAACTGCGAGGAGCCATCCAGCGCCGTGGCCCATGTCCTAAGCCTGTCAAACCGCTATGCAGCCCTCTCCACTGACATCCCAGCCCCCTCAGCAGAACCTCTGGACTCTGCAGCGTACTCTGCCGTTCGTGGATCTAAGTCCACTGCGAGAAAAACGCTCTTAAAGGAAGCCGTCCTCAGACGAAAGAGTGATCATTCCCCTTCTCTGACCGCAGTGCATCACCACCACTTACCTTCACCGGGTCAGCAGCAGTGACCCGAGCCTGCTCCTCACGCCGCTCCAGCGTCTCCGTGCACACAGCGTGGGTTGCCCGGAGCTGGGAATCAACACCCCCCGCTCCCCTCCATGTGTTCAGCAGCGCCCTGGTTCGGACTCATCCCTGGATGAGCCCGCTGGTTCCGGCCATGGACACCGAGCGCCCTCTCCGCGGCCGCGTCCACTCTTCGCCCCGACTACTTTGATTGTTGGAGATTCCATCGTGAGGCACGTCCGCTTTTTTAACGCGGTCACTCAGTGTTTTCCCGGAGCTACTGTGCCAGATCTGCTCATCCGTCTCCCTCCTCTGCTTCACTCCCTGCCTGATACCATTTCAAAGGTAATCGTGCATGTGGGGATCAACGATATGAAGCTGCAGCAGTCCGAGGTCACAAAGAAGCATTTTATGGATCTATTCCGCCTCCTCCAGTCCTCCGGGTTGTGTGTTTTTATCTCTGGTCCAGTCCCGACTGTAAACCGGGGTGACTGCCTCTACAGTCGCGTTGTGGCGCTGAACATGTGGCTCCAGTCTGCATGCAGCACTTTTAACTTTGTTTTTGTGAACAACTTTGCCTGTTCTGGAAGCGTCACGTGGCCTATCGTCCAGATGGTCTGCACCCGAACAAATACGGCACCAGTTTGTTGACGGACTTCCTACGCCATGTTGTTCAGTGCTCCCAGAGGGGGGCGTGACTGTTTACATCTGAGGCTTCTCGGCCCCCACTTACCCCCCTCCTCCTCCTCCTTACCAGCACCGGGTGAGTACTGTGGTGCAAACACTGACCCCTGTCCGTCTGGCAGTGTAACGACAGTCCTGCCACTGAACTGTGCTGCCTCCTGCTCCTAAAACAACGTAAGCAATGCCGTCCTGAATCCGGGACATACACAGCAAAAGAGTTCACATGTTAGACAAAATTAGAAACTGTGTGTGTTCCTCGCATCAGTTTCTAAAAATGTTTTATTTAAATGGACAACAAAATCATAAAACAGGAAGGACAGCAGTTAGACATACAAATTCTAAAATCCTGCCTCCTTGTAAAAATCAATTAACTAACCCACTGTAATGATAGTAATTTTAAACATTGCTATGCTTAATGTCCAGATCACTGTGCAACAAAATCATTTTTATTAATAATTTTACCCGTTCTTATGATCTTGATTTTATGTTTCTGACTGAAACTTGGCTTGACCAGAGTTAAGGGTTAATGCGGTTTTAATAGAAGCAACGCACCAAACTTCAAATTTGAATCTGAAATCCGAGAAATAAAAGGGGGGAGGCATTGCTGCTTTATTTAGAGATCGTATTATCTCTCTAGAGTTTCCTTGGGAAATTTTCGTATCATTTTGAGTATATTTCTTTTAAAATAGACAAAAACAATCTCCTTCTATTCTTATCATTGTCCGGTACAAGCCACCGCAGTCTTGCTCACAATTTTCTTGGATAATTTCACTGAGTTGCTTTCAGTTGTTAGCACCGATTTTGATAGTTTAGTGATTACAGGGAGATTTTTTTTTTAAAATATTCATGTGGATAATGGCAATGAAAAAATGCACAAAGAGCTGAGTTCTGTACTTGAAACATTTTGGTCTCAATCAGCACGTGAGATGCCCCACCCACAGCAAAGGGCACACTCTAGCCTGCTGGTTACAAAGGGGGTTATATTTTAAATATGTAATGTGGTTGACGTGGCTCTGTCAGATCACTTCTGTGTTTTTTGACATGTGTTTTCGATAGCAAACATCCATATAAATCTGAATCTGCAATTGTCAGCCCCCCCCGACACAGGAACATAAATGAAAACAACAACCGATCTATTCATGGGAATGATAAACTTGAGAATCACATTGTGTTTCTACTGTTGACGAATTGTTTTAACTCTGTTCACCGCCAATGTTATAAATGTTCTGACATCCTCGCTCTCTGTGAAGGTAAAATGACTTACAATAAGCCAAAGGGCCCCTCTGGACTTAAAATGGACTCAGGATGGTACAGAAGAGAGAGTGCCGTAGGGCGAGCGGAAGTGGCGAAAATCCAATCTCCAGGTTGATCATGATATCTTCAAAAATGAGTTGTGCATGTTTAACAGGGTGCTACGTAGAAAACATAGAGAAATTTATTTTTCTAAAACCATTGATGGCTGCCATAATAATCTACGATCTTATGTTTTCAACAGTTAACGGATTAACATAAACCCCCCTGTTCAGCTGCTCCGTCGAATTGGCCTTCGTATCTAAATGTAATGAGTTTGCACAATTTTTCATGACAAGGTTCAGAGCATCAAAAACGCCACTCACCCCAAGGCAGAAATAAACATTACAACAGCCGGTGAGGCTGTTGGAGCTAGATGTGCGCACTTTGCACCTACAGATAATGAAATACGTCCAAGATTGTTGTCTCTAGCCTTAGTTCCTCACATGTAGCCTGGATGTTACTACCCACTAAATTTTTTTAGTATGTTTTGAGCAGTCTTTTACCTGTTGCTCACACAAATAGTGAACATGTCTTTTCATCTGGAACATTTCCAATGGCCCTGGAAAACGGCAGTCATCAGTCCCTCCTAAAAAGAGGAGTCTAGATGCTCAGTTATTAAGATATTATCGCCCCATTTCAATATTCTGTCGTTTATGGGAAAAATTCTGGAAAAGTAGCTTTCCAACAAACTACAGATTCTTAGTAACTAATAGTTTCGTTTGTTGCGCTCCGTCCGGCTTTAGAGCCAATCACAGCACTGAGACTGCACTTGTGAAGGTTACAAATGAACATCCGGACTTAACACGACACAGGAAAAGTCACCGTTTTAGTAATGTTGGATTGAGTGCTGCGTTCGACACAGTCGACCACGAGATCTCCTGCCAGAGAATAGAAGCACTGGGTGGGTCGTGTCATGGGACTGCCTAAGTTGTATTAGGTCTTACTAGAAGACAGGAATACTTGGTTCAGATAGGAAACTGTGTCTCAGATCATTTGGCTCTGACCTGCGAGTGCCACAGGGATCAATTCTGGGGTCTCTTCGTGTTCAATAATTTACATGCTGCCGTTAGGTCAGTTATACGCTCCAACAATGTATCCTACCACAATTACCTGATGACACTCAAATTTATTCTCACTTAATGCAGAGGAGGAAAATGACCAGTGGAGAATCACTCCTTCACTTACTAACAGATTAGAGTTGGATGCAAAAGATAACTTCTTTACAGCTAAAGCAGACAAAACACGAATTGATTGTCTTTGGTCCTCAGAAACAAAGAGAGATCGTTATTCGTCACCTCCAGTCTTCTCTCCATGGAACCTGTATGGCAAGGTCGAGAAACCTAGGAGTTATACTGGACTCAGACTTAAATTTTAAATAGCCACATCAAATCAGTAACATCAGCAGCTTTTTTACCATCTAACAAAACATTGCCAGGTTCAAAAACATAGTGTCTAAAAGCAGACTTGGAGGATTCTTATCCATGCATTTGTCTCCAGATGGATAGACTACTGCAATGGCCCTGCTCACAGGTCTCTCCAACAGGCTGTAAAACAACTGCAGTAGCTGTCAAAATGCTGCGCTCGGAGTCTGACCAGGACAGGAAATATGACCACATTAGTCCCAGTTCTCCAGGTCTCGCACTGGCTTCCTGTGCTCAGAGATTAGATTCAAAAGCAGCTTGCTTGTGTACAAGTCTTCTCCATGGCCTCGCACCAGGGTACTTAAGCGGACTTGTTAGTCCCATTATGAACCGACCGGACTCTGAGGAGCACAGGAGGTAGCCTCTTTACTGGGTCAAGAGTCAGAACTAAAACTTTGGGAGGCAGCGTTTGAGTTTATGGAGCTAAAATCTGGAACAATCTTCACGCGCTCGATGTGAGGCTAGCATCTACTCTGGCAATTTTTAAATCGGGCTAAAAACTGTTCTTTTGCTGTGCATACGGCTGAGGATTTCTACTTGATACATACTCTTTTTTTTTTTAATGCTTGTGGTTATTTATTATTGTAATCCGTGGGTGCTTTTGAATATTTTAAGTTTTTTTTTTTTTTTTTTTTTTCCATTATTTGTGATTTTATCTGTTTGTAATGATTTATTGTTGTCTCTGACTGGAAACTGTTGAAAGTGTGGAAACTCCTGAAATCCTTGAACCTCCTGATATCCTTGAAACTGGTTAAATTCTTAAACAGTTGAAATCCTTGAAACTACTGAATGTATTGAAAGTGTCCTTGAAACTGAAAAATCCCCTCACCGCTGAAACAA